TTGCAGTCAAACTCAGCCGTGTTGGCACCTAACTGCTCCTACCCACCACGCAAGCAAGCTGAGCACAGGGCAGACACACAGCAGCTGGAACTTATTCCGGTGGCCATTTACAGGATAAAAAGATGACAATTTTGCTCAGGAGGGGCATGCTCTGTCCATGGGGGGAACGGATTTTAAGCTGGGGATGAGGAGAAGGGAAATCAGCTGAGAGAGGTAAAGGCTGGAGGGAAGATAACCTTTAAGGGAACAGCTGAGGAAGCAGGACCCCTTGGCACCTGCACCATTGCCTGCCTCCCACGCATCCCCTGCTAAAACGTGGAGGCCAGCACTCAAGAAGAGCATATGGGAAGGAGACAACTGGAGATCGCCTCTGCAGCAACAGACTGACAAGCAGCCGGAAGCCAAAAAAACCCAGAAAACTAAAAAACAGCACCTGTTTAAAACTCATCAACTTGAAAAATGCAGGCATTCTCTCAGAGGTGAGCAGACGGAAAAGACATCTACAGCCTCTTAAAGTCAAGCCACTGAGGTATAAAATTCAAGACGCTTCATTATCGGCCCTCGGCCCAGAATAACTCTTGGAGACGTATTGCCAAGGTTCCTATTTTCTTTGGTATTTATAGCCACTCAGCCACATTTAACTTCCAGTTAATACAGGCAATAAAGAATCATGTTTTACACAGCAGTGAAAACCACGCACCCCCCCAGTGCTAGGTGGATGGTTTTGCAGTGATTAACGTTACACAACTGTCTCGGGAGAGGAAGTGAAGACTGACTTATCTGACTGAAACAGAAGGGGGCAACTGCGTGACAGTGTGACATATGTGCCCAGCTTTATGCGCACTAATTAAAGATTACCAGACGGGCAACCCTGTGCATGACATCTCCTTTTTCTTTTTTTTTATTGCCTGTGGCCATGCAAGTTTCTCCAGCTCATCTGTATATTTCAAATTTGTTCCTGCTTTGCTGCCTCCATGACCACCCCAGCTACTGGATGTCATTTCAGTGTGCCATACAGGAACCAGTACCACACCAATGAGGCAGCAGACACTTCCTTTCCGTGAGATGCAATGAAATTATTTAGTAGGAAGTATGTTACTGCATACCCCTCAACGTCAACTTTCAGCTGGGGAAGGGAAAGGCTTGAACCCAGGATTCCTTATTTCAGCTGAATTGCCATCCCAAACTGGATTACTCATTTCTAAACATAAAATTAAGTAAACCTTGTATCTTAAAGCGCATGTAAGGGGAGAGGAGATCACTGGGAAAAGCAACGATATAGAAATAAGATTAATAGGATGATAAGTGGCTAATAATTAGGTGAGTCAATTTGATTAGACACACATGGGTGCATAGTGCTTATTCTAATTTATGAAATTAAGTGAGGCAGGAAGGAATATTCTGGACAAATACTCAACCAGCAAGAGAGAAAAATAGTATAGATTTTGGGAGGGTGGTTATTTTCTTTTTTTATAGTCGGTTTTTCAGAGGTAGAGGAAAAGAACCAATTTTATCGCTGTAAGAAGAGGCCTCTTTCCCTTCCCTTTTCTTCACTGCCTCAAAAGCAGCTTCAAATTCATCAGTATTGAGAACAGGTCACTCAAAGAAATAAATACAAATCTGTTGGATGATGGTACCAGGGTCACAAAAAGAAAGAAGATTTGGGACTGATTAAGAAAAAAAAGAATAGTATGAAAAACAGGGTTATAGCAGTGTGTTAAAAACCTTGTAAAGAAAAGACAGCAAGTCTACAAGGTAGAGTGACACTTTCCTTTCTCCAGCAAGATAAATATACCTCCGTCTAAGGGAGATGTTCTTTGCAGTGCGAGGCTCCCAGCAGCACAGGCTGCAATAACTGCGTGCTCTGCCACAGGGCAGGGGCAGTCAGTGCATCCTCATTTCACAGGCACACAGGGCGAAACTTCCCACCCACTGTTTTAAGTTATTCCTCAAAGGCCCACCACCTCCAGAAGGTTTTGTTCCAACTGGCTAGCAACTAGAAACAAGGTAATTACTTACCGAAGGAGGAGGTGGGGGTTGAACTGTGTAGGGGGGAGGTGGTGTGTCTGTTATTTCTGGATCATCCTGTTCACTTTCACTGTAGCATTCTGAGGCAGACATGGAAAATGAGCAAAAGCAAAGTGTTAGAACAACACCCATTTACTCCCTGCAGCGCTGTGGTAACCAAAGATCACCACATAGGATGTTCTGGGCTGAGGATAACTCTGTAACAAGTCAGTGTCTCCTACAGTGAAAATTAACCCACTTGTGGTAATGGTACACTGCTTCACGGCAACATGTTTTCTTTTTTTTAACCCAAAACATTGGCTAATTTGCTATGGCAGGAAACACCAGGTGACACTGCTCTAGATAGCTTCACAAATAGGTTTGGGGAGGTTTTTGTTTGTTGTTTTTTTTCCTCCCCTTGCAGCTTTTAAAAGAAAGGCTGCATCATTTGTAGTATGTTAAGGAGACCTGTTGCAAACAGCAGATGCTGTCCCTTAACCTCTGTAACCAGTAAGTTTTCCTGGAGCATTGGTGTTTTGGCTACAATTTTGGAGGAAACACCTTGCTCGCATGGTGCTTTGGAAACCATACAGAAGCCTCATGAGGGTCTTCTGTCGCCACATGGTAACTCACGTAGGCACACCATGCAGCATGGCACGACATGTGCAGAGCTAGTACTAAAAGTAAACGCAGTACTCTAAGACTATATGCCCCACTCATCTTCTTTTTAAAATAAAAAGTAAGCTGATAGTAAGCCTTAGTATCCATTGACGTGTGACAGAGAGGCAGTCGTGTTGTTATTTCTTTCAACTACCTGTGTAGCAGATGAAAGCATTTTCTCAGGTGCTTTTTAAAAGCGGATTAAATAAAGTGATAATCACTGATAAAATGAGACACAGAAAAGGGGAGGCAGTTAGTTGCTTGTTCTTGTTCTCAGGGCCTGGCTGTAACCACTGGGAAGATCATTTCTCTCCGCTAAATCTCCCAGCATGCATCAGCCTTTCACATCCAACCTTTGTAGCGCTTGCATCCTGCCCTGCACCACGCGCGAAGGGTGACAGCACTCACACTCTCCTGACTGATCTGGGGACATGAAAGGTTGCAAAGACATAGTCGGAGCTTAATGAGGACGACACGAGTGAGTGTCAAGTGTGACAAGAGCAGAGGCTGCCCGTGCCTGCCTCCACGGGAGCCGTCTCTCTGCACTGCCTCTCCCTCCACCAGCTGCACACAGCAGCTTGTGTGTCCCAGAGCAGCTGGGTCTCTCTGGTGGAAGCAACGCCTAAATGGGCGAGAGTTGTTTGTGTTCTGGGAGTACTTGGTAAGAGCTGGACTTCATAAGTGCACACCACTAGAAAGCAGTGTGTCATCACAATCCCTGGGAAATCACCTGTGCTTAGCTCATCTTTTAACTAAATTAATACCCACGCACTTTCTTTCTGTGCATGTCATTTGGGGTTTTTAATAAGCATGGTGCAAGGGGAACAAAGTTTTAAGAGAAAAGAATTTTGTTTCTAAGATGTTAACTAAGTGGAACTTTAAGAGATTCATTATTTTTTCTCCCCTTACTCTTTGCAGAACTATAAGTTTTTTTAACAGCGTAGCTGCTATTCTGTTTATTGGAAATATGTGCTGGCACGTCTTACCATTAAGGACCGAGACTGGCCGTAATAAGGCCTATATCAAATTCTAAGGCTCTATTAATGCCTTCTTGAATGACTCTTAGTAAAGAACTTATTGTTTCTACAGTTCCCCTTTTAGGCACACAGAACTGAAAAAGAATCAACAGCTGTTTCTGATACTAAATAGGCAAATGGGGTTGGGGGGGTGGTGGTGGTGTTAAAATGCATAGAAAGTACACGAATACATAAGAACTGCCATAACAAGAGCCAAGACCCTCCTGAAGAGTTATGGTGTGAGACACAGA